ACAGCATCCCTCACCGAAGGTGTCCACCAACGGGTTCGAGGGTTGCCGCCGCGACAGGCACCAACAACCTTGCGGTACACTGCTTTAATGTTAATTTCCCATGACTCATCAGATTATTCTGAACTTGACTCAGAAGTGATAAATCCGGGTTTTTAATAGTTTATAAAGCTCATTTTAGTTCTGCTTCTTTCTCATAGCTGCGTGTTGAAACTTCTGCTTGAAGTYTTGCCTGAAGTCTCATGTGCTCTGTTTTCTTACTGTTATCTAATGTTGTCTTTCATAGTGACAATCAGAGGAAATATTTCGCATAAACAGGCTCTTCCATTATTTTTTATAGTATAGACAGTGCAAGATATGTTGATTTTTTTTTAAGGAGCTCAAAAACTAATTAAAGAACTATTTTTAATGACACGCTGAACAATCAGCTGTTTACTGGAATGATTTTTGGACAAAAAATGACTTTGTAATGATAACTTCAGTATATGAACAGATGGCTGCCATTCTTGTTGTGATGCCTCAAAGTTGAGATGTTATTAGTTGCCAGATGAAGGGGTATTTATAGGCATTTTGGTTTCATTTGTTATTTTCCTCATAGTGATTAAAAGTATAAATGGTTTGTCAAACCTGGTTTGTCTCATGCTCTATAGTTTTAGTACCAATATTTTTTTCCGTCTTAGACATAAAACAAATCTAAAACAAATTTTAAGTTAATTTTTGTTATCTACTTATTAACTATGAATGAATTGTTTTAATTTGAGTTCAAGAGATTATTACATTTCTTTGCTCAAGAAGATGTACGTGATTTTCTGAAGTGTTTCAAACCATCTAAATTTTGCTTACAAGACCTTAGGAACTATGGGTGCTGAAGATGCTGTAGCACCCCTTTGTGGGTGGCAAGAAATAAAATGTTAAAAATAAAGTAATAAAAGAACAAATGAATGAGTAAACAAATGAAATCACAAATCCACTAGTGTTTCTCAAGTTTACATCTTTATGATAAACTTGAGGGGCGGCTGTTGCGGAGTGGTTAGGTGAGTCGTCCTGGAACTAGAAGGTCACTGGTTCCATCCCCCGTCCAGCCGTCTCAGTCATTGTGAYACTTCACCCACCTTGCCTACTGATGGTGGTCAGAGGGTCCGGTGGCGCCGGTGCATGGCAGCCTCGCCTCTGTCAGTGTGCCCCAGGGCAGCTGTGGCTACAGTGTAGTTTGCCATCATCAGTATGTGAATGTGAGTGTGAATGGGTGAATGTCTGTTAGTGTAAAGCGCTTTGGGGTCCGGAGGAACTTGAAAAGCGCTCTATAAGTTCAGGACCATTTACCATTACCATTAACAGGGGAAATTGAGTTACTGTTTGAGGTACTTCAGCTTTTTCTTCTTTGTAAAAACACTTTCGAATAGCTGTAATGCTGACAGAAGTGCCAGAAGAACACTGCTTTTAGTTTGAGTGTAAGATAACAATGGTTTATACATATATTGTGTTAAAAAGCACTAACGTTAGAGAAACTGATCACCAAAAAACTGATCAGCCATGAGCTGCATGTTTCCAGTAATCTCAGGTGGGAAGAAGATTGTTTTTATTCTGGTTCACGTTGGGCAGACTGGTTGGTGGGAGGAGCAGTTCAGTCTTAAAGGTTTAGTTGAAGAAGGTGACGCTCCTTCATGAGTCAGAGGCAAGTGGAGACCTGTTGCCAGGTGAAGACTGTGATTATAGTGTGCAGGTATTATTACAGTACAGCCCACCTCCCACCCTCTACAACTTATCACTTCCACCCCTCCTCCACCCATCTCCCCCACAGTAAGCATCACTGCTGAACAAGTGAGAAGTCAGCTGCAGAAACTCCACAGTAACAAGGCTGCTGGCCCCGATGGTGCCCACCCCAGAAAGACTGCGCCACCCAGCTCTGTGGAGTTCTGCAGCATGTCTTTGATATGAGTCTGAGTCTGCAGAGAGTCCCAGCAATATGGAAGACATCCTGCATCGTTCCAGTCCCAAAAACAATGCAACCCAGTAACAACGAGGACTACAGGGTGGCTCTGACATCACACATCATGAAGACCATGGAGATGCTCGTTCTGAAGCCAGTACGCCTCAGTGTTCAGCCACACCTGGATCCCCTTCAGTTTGCCTATCAGCCCCGCCTCAGAGGACGCCATCATCTRTCTGCTGAACAGAGTCTATTCCCACCTGGAAAAGCCAGCCAGCACTGTCAGAGTCATGTTCTTCGATTTTGCCAGTGCCTTCAACACAATCCAGCCTGCTCTCCTGGGGGACAACCTGAGAGTGATGCAAGTGAATGCCCCCCTCGTGTCCTGGATCATGGACTACCTGAATGGCTGACCACAGTATGTACGAGTACTAACAGACTGGTCAGCAACATCTGAGCTCCACAAGGAACGGTCCTCTCTCCATTCCTCTTCACACTGTACACCACAGACTTCAACTACTACACAGAGACCTGCCATCTTCAGAAGTTTTCTGATGACTCAGCAGTAGTTGGATATCAGTGGTGGTGATGAGGACGAAAACAGAGCGACGGTGAAGGACTTTGTCTGCTGGTGCAAGCAGAACCACCTACAGCTCAATGTGACAAAGACTAAGAAGCTGGTGGTGGACCTGAGGAGGAACAAGGCACCAATGACCCCTGTGTCCATCGGAGGGGTCAGTGTGGACATAGTGGAAGACTATAAATATCTGGGGGTGCATATTGACAACAAACTGGACTGGGTCAAAAACACAGGCTGTCTACAGAAAGGGCCAAAGTTGTTTCTACTTTCTGAGACGTCTGAGGTCCTTCAACATCTCCCGGATGATGTCCAGGATCTTCTATGAGTCTGTGGTGGTGAGTGCCAKCCTCTATGCTGTGGCATGCTGGGGCAGCATACTGAGGGGTGCTGATGCCAACAGACTCAACAAGCTGATCCGAAAAGCAGGAGATGTTGTGGGAGTAGATCTGGACTCTCTGACTGCAGTGTCTGAGAGGAGGATGCTGGCAAAGCTGCAGGGAATCATGGACAACAGTTATCACCCTTTCTACGACACTGTTAGGAGTTACAAAAGCAYGTTCAGTGCCAGACTCATGGCACATAAATGCACCACTGAGCACCACAGGAGGTCGTTCCTACCGGTGGCCATCAAACTCTATAACTCCGCCCAAAACATGTGAAACATCTGTCACTTTAATACACCTGTGCAATTTTTTTTATCTACAACACCTTAATCTAACATGTGCAATATCACTATCATCACCTATTCTTATATCATTAATTAAATCTGATGGGACCTTTGCATCAGTCATATTGTTTTTAACTTCAGAGTATATCCCTGTTGTTATTTCTAATGACACTGTTGTTATTTCTACTTATACTGTTGTTATTTCTATTTACACTGTATAGACGCTCATTGATCTCTGTGTTCATCTGGTTCTCCAGAGTTTTTATACGTATTTTCTTCCTTGTGTGCTTGAATATTTCTTCCTTTATACTTTATCTCTAATTCTTACTTGAACGGCTGCAGCTGTAATAATTGCATTTCCCCCCCGGGGATCATTAAAGTGTTCTGATTCTGATTCTGATTCTGATTTTGAAGACACACTTAAAACGAGTGGCTGCTGGCATGACATTAATTACACACTAATATAGTACATGAAAAACTAATTGCTCTCATTAGTTGGATGGATCTTTCAGTTCTTCTTTGTTAAAAGGAACATTTCAGTTCTCCAAAGTGACATTTTTTTCCACATGCATGTGTATCAAGTTTTCAGCTCTAGATATCCACAAGTAGCCTTCCTGTCTAGAGTGATTATTAAACAGTAGATATCTGAAATAACACAATAAGTAACTTTATGCTGGAATAGATATTTTAATATTTGGACATGGTGAGTTGTGCTGATTGTTAAACATCTTTCTGTTTTTGTGCAGGATGTTCTGTACACCGTATGTAACCCCATAGGCAGCGTGTTGAGGATCGTCATCTTTAAACGAAATGGCATCCAGGCCATGGTTGAGTATCCTTACTGAAGAGGTGAGGATGTGGTCCGGTGTTCTGACGATCTGTGCTACCTCATCAGATTTTGCTACCATAATGCAGTTTGATAGCTAGGTGTACTGTTGGTGCTACCAATCAAAATCTGCTGCTGTCATATTTACAAAAATATCATCATCGGATAAAATTCTCTGAGTGACGGTTACTGAAGTGTAAATTATATGTCCACAAGCCATCTATCATAAACTTATAAGTGACGGTAAACAATGAGACTAATTTCTTGTTTACAGTATGGTAACACTATTTCAAACAGCAAACGAGCCATTTATGTTAATATTTTTGAGTAACATTGCAGCTTAATTACGTAAAACTTAACGTAACAAAAAGAAACTTCTGTTGAGTAAGAAACATTTGATGTAACATCGGTCTGCGCATGCGCATTTGCCACAAGGTAGGACGAATTGATGGGTAGCACAGATTGTCGGAACACCGGTCCACTGGATGGAGTTGGGCTTTTATCTGAAGGTGTATTCCATAAGATCTGTTCAGCTCATTCAGAATGTTGGTGCTTAGTTTGGTCCTAAGAACCGGGCCGGAAGCCATAGTTATATAATCTTTTCATCTGTAGTTCTGGGGTCTCATTTATAAAGGATTGCGTGGAAACCATACTAAAAGTGAACGTACGGCCAAAAGGCGGAAATGGCGTACGCCAAAAAAAATTCAGATTTATAAAACCATGCGTACGCATGTTTCTGCGCACCTTTCCTTTATAAATCACAGCCGCACGTCAGAGTTTGCGCACGAGGTCCCGCCTCAGGTTCTACCCTCCACACGCCCACATTCAACCATAAACAGTCAATGTAAAGTACCTCATGAATGTTAAGATGTATTTAAATCAGTCAGCTAATCAATGCCAACAAAAGTGATTGGCTCAGACACACTCCGTCGTGCGTCTGGAGGTTGACAGGTGCTCACGTGAACAGAATGTCTGTAATTGACACAGATTTTCCCTCATTTTGCTTTAGAGTAATCTAATGATTTTTATAAAAAAAAATCAACTTCAAATTAATTTTTCATCAGAGCCTGCAGGACGATAAAAACAATAAAAATTAAATTAAATAAGTCAGATAAAATTAAAAGTAAGTCCTCCGCTCTTCTCCTCCTCGTCCTCTCCCCCTCCTGCCTGCTCTGTTATCCGCGGCTGACACCCCCGCCCCGCGCGCACACGCACGCACGCACGCACGCACGCCCCCTGCGCGCGTGACAAACACGGACTTTAAACATGAAGGTTTATTACATTCACACTGGTGAGGTGGGCGCGCCCTGTGCGTGTATCCAAAGCGTGACTTTTGCTGTCCTGCTGTTCTTGTCAGGGAGGGGTCTGTGGGTCAGGGAGGGGTCTGTGGGTCAGGGAGGGGTCTGTGGGTCAGGGTCGTCTGAGGAGGAAGCAGATGAATGGAGTTGCACACGGGAACTTTTATTTAAGATTTAAGTTTTTTTATTTCAAAGGTCCTCATGGCTCAGCAGCAGAAGCATAAATATTACTGTTAAGAAAGCTGATGATAAAGATGAATAAAAATCTAAGTCTGATGAAGGTAAATTAAATATCTGACAGTGATCATTACACAGTGTGGCTCTAATTCCTAACTTCACCATCTGTGTCGCAGTTTCACGTCTCCAAAATGAGCGTACGCATGGGTCAGAGCTGGCGTGAGGCACCGCACATTTTCACGTCAAGTTTGGATTTTATAAATCACAACCTTGGCGTGAAAAGTGGCGTACGCACGTTTCTGGGCTCATATTGTGCGTACGCCAGTTTTATAAATCCGACCCCTGGACCTTATCTGCTTTTTCACTCAGTTTCATTTCATTTAGAGAGAAATGTTTGTTTGTTTGTTTGTTTGCTCTTTAAGCCACTTTGCTCTGCTCTATGAGTCCTTCAGTCATAAATACTGTACTCCTGAACTTTAAGGAGTTGTGTGGACACCCGTTAAAGAACGGTAAATAAATAAATAAATAAATAAATAAATAACATTCTCATTAAATATAGCTGCAGATGATTTTGTTTTCCAGGCTGTTTTATGTTTGAAATGTGCCGTGTTGGTTCCTTAACTTGGCTCTTCCAGGTTTGAGTCGGTGCAGGGAGCTCAGAAGGCCAAAGCAGCACTGAACGGAGCTGACATTTATGCTGGTTGCTGTACACTCAAGATTGAATATGCACGGGTAAGAAACAAACAAACAAAAAAGCACATCAGCAGTTAAAACCTACCATGTTAGAACTGACTGCTACATCTGTAGGAAGAAAAACCAAAATAAATTTCAGTGTTTTCATCATGGCTCTTGTCTGTGTTTATGTACTCAGATCTTCCAATAATCACTGATCAGTTCAGGTTGTGAAGATATCCAAGGAACTGATTGAATGTTTAACTTTTATCAAGTTTTTTTTATTTGTGTTTATGTAAATAAAATAAGCCAAAATCTAAACTCTAATATAAAGTAATGTTTTCTCACTGTCTGTAAATGAAACATGTTTTTAGCTGGAAGGCCACTCAGAGACTACAAATCAACTGTATTCTGATGCAAATCTGTAAAGGAAATGACAATCCAATACAAGATGTCAGTGTACAATAATGGTTTCAGAGATTTTTTTTGGACTTCACAGAACAGAAAATACAATTGATCTAACTTCATCCTGAATATTTGTTTTTACTTCTGTGTCAACAGCCAACACGTCTGAACGTAATAAAGAACGATAACGAGAGCTGGGACTACACTAAACCATACTTGGTCAGACGAGGTAAGGCAGTTTTAATTTTCAGGTAATTATGCACCATCCACACTTCTCCGGGTATTAAAAACAAATATTCTGCTGTAACTGCACCTCTTGTCCACACAAAAATGCGATTTTTGAAACCACTTTCCAAATTGCAGTTTCGGTGGATCTGTGAGATACTGAGCTTTTCAAAAACAGTCATGTGGCAGCGTGCTTCACAGTCAGACGTCAGTCGTGTGCTGAAATGGTTATTAACTGATAGAAAACCGTAAACTGTATTAAAAAATTGGAAATCGTTAAAATATGCGTTATTGCTTGTTATTTTTTTATGTTAAATTTTATGTTCTCACTACCTACCTGGTGGTGCTGCCTTGTTTTTTTTTTTGTTTTTTTTTTTG